ACTGTGCTATAATTATAATGCAGTAATGAATACACACGTGTGTTTTAAGAGAATTCATACCACGTGTCTTTAATAGTGCACAGATGTTAATGCTGGCAACTCTTACTGTTCAACATGTTTTCCCATCGTTGCTTGTTGCTTCTTACATTATTTCTGATTTGGTAAATAGCAGAGGGGAAGGACTTGGCTGTCATAGTCATTGGCCACCACAAACCTCCATGGGGCCACAGTATTAATCCACTGAGTAAACTATGCTGCATGCAGTTGGTGATTACGTAAACTCGTGAGTAAGTGAATAACAGGGAGCACTACCACTTCTCCGTATTTCACTATGCAGCCCTGACTTTGCCATGCCTGGCAAGGCTGGCTTGTAACCGGTGCTGATCTTCACCTCAGATTTTCAGTAAGATAGTTCCATAAACACAATGACATCGTGTCATGACATCATTACTTTCCTGTAGGTTTGAATCAGCTTGTTTGCTTTTACAGGAAATCGTATATATTCACTGCTCCTCCAACTTAATTGACACCAGGGAAGTGCCATACACATTAATTTCAACATTTAGCTCTCAAGTGCATGAACAACATTCCCATAATCCATTAGGTACCCACCCAGAACAGACTTCGACATCATACAAGTAAAGGCAGCTAAATAAACAGAAAGGTCAGTTTTAGAGTATAAAAACTTGAAAAATTCACAATATTACTTCTTCAGGAAGGGTGAAGCAAATATTACAGTACCTTGTGCTATGGGGGCTTATGGCCTGATTGAAAACACTAGACACTATGGTAATACAATACTGGTGCCAAGAGACCAAAGTTTTAATGTCTTCATCTCCCATCTCCCCAGATCCTTCCTAATGTTGTCCATGATGTCATTGCACCCTGGACTACTCAATTGCGCATTGATTGGAAAGGCTTTGCAGAGGAAAGAATAATACTGGAAACTGGCAGTGCATCATATGAGATGAGATGGATAATATGAACTAATGCACAAAACTAAACATGGCAGAAGGAAATCAAAAGAGACATTCTGCATTGTTTATGGACTACGGGACAGTCCACAAAATCACAGACCTAAGATCAGCATCTCTCTTGAGGGCTTCAGTGAAACAAAAGAGTGGAAAGCATTGTATTTATGGGATAGATCAGGCTTCTTCTAAGATTCCACTCTTCAGATCAATTTATATTCAACTCTGTTCTACTGCTCCACCAGCAGTAAATACAGAAAATATTCATAAAGTTACAAGAAGTATTGAAAACCTCATTATTTGTTGGACAGGAGGGGCAGACGGTAAAGGGGAAAGTGTCATAGTTTACAGCCTTGTGTTTTCAAACAGAGGCTAATGCATGCATACCAGCACTCACTTTTACACACCAGTGTCAAAATACAGATTAACTGCAAAGTGATCTTTGCAGTGACACTGCACACAGAGCACAGCCCTTAAGATGAGGGGCTAAAGTGATATACTTTGAGCCACCAGTGCTGTAAGTTGGAAATAACTTCACGACTCTCCCTTCACTCCTACCAAAGATAGTTTTGCGGAGTTCCTCATTCAGGATTCAAACTCCTTCTTGACTCTAAACAAGCATCTTCATACACCAAGTTCTAGACACATATGTAAACCTTGCCATCTCAAGGCTTTTGTGTGACAACATCTGGGAATATATTTATAGGATTTTAGTTCAAAAGAGTTGAGTTATGCATATTAACTAACACCCTGCGTCTGATCGCTGAGCTAGCTGCAGTGCTACAGTCCCATTCCAAAACCCACAGATATCATCTATACCAGCGCTGTCAACAGTTTGTGCACATTTTAAAAGCATCAAAGTGTTTTTCCTCGTTTTTCCAAGAAAAAAGAGCCCTTACGACACATAAACAAACACATAGAAAGGCAGACACATATTTCTTTGCATGATTTCAGTAAAAACATGCTTTTCTTATTAAATTTTGGTGCTATCTTTTGATTATAATCATCTTCTTTCCCAGAAAATCTATGACTAAGTATGTGTAAATACCCATCTCAGGGGTCTGCCCTTGCGGCGGCTGTGGCCAGCCCAGATCTTCTCACCATGTATGTGTGTGAATTGCCTCATAGTGGCGTGTATAATGCATTCTCCCTTCCTTCGGCTTCCCTATCCATCTGGGTGCTTGCCAAGTATGCTGGCTGGCCACCTTATTAGCAACAGAAGTGGGACTCGGGTCCCAATAAGACTCTGGTGGAAGCTGGCAATATCTCCCTTGACTGCGGTGGAGTTCAGCCTATTCCCACCACTCCAGCAAGGGCTTCCTAGCTCCATTATCGGGTGGTTGTGGACTCTGGTTGCTTTAGTCCTGTGAACTCCTGGGAGCCTTTGACACCACTTAACTTCAGCACAGACTAAGGGCACTCCGTTGTCACTAGATAAACCCATTATATAAGGCAGCTAAGTGTATGTGCTGCTCTCTCTCCTTGGTTCCCCCATAAGGCAGGTTCACGTACATGGAAATTCAGTGGGGTTTCAGTGGCAGAAGCAGACTCCTGGCAAACCACACATCAGTGTTTCTCTGGAGCTGCAGCTTTCCCAGCAAGGCTGCTGCATAGTCGGAGTCTGGATCTGTTTCACCCCAAGCCCCAGGCACTATGGCCAGCCCAAGTGGCTTGTGACTCCAGTGGGCTCTGACACCAGCTGGTCACCCCTATGCAGGATGAGGCCAGGCCTTACCAAGAAAGCTGAGTTCACATTTCCAAGAAGCAAAGCGAAAGGGAGATGTTTGAGCAGAGCGTTGTCATTGCCGGTGGTTTCTTCCAGGCCAGCAGTAAACTTATGTTGTTTACTGGATCCCAAACTTTCTTTGCATGTACACAGGAAAACAGATGCTTCCCACTCCCGGGCTCCATGCTCGAGCCAGGCTCCCTCAGCAAAACCTGCAGGTAGGGTACACAAACGGGGCAGCAGAGACATCGCTTCCTGCCTCCGGCTGCTTTGAGCTGGTGATAGAACATTATCTATCCCACACACTTCTTTGGCCTCCTTGCCAGGGTATCAGGCCGGCTCGCAGCGTGCAGCTTGCTTTTCCTGTGCAGTAGGAACAGCTGCCACCTCCGCTCACAAACAGGGGACAGAGGCCGGGGCTTGCAAGCACTTTGGCTCAAGCAGGGTGCATGGGGCACGGATGACAGAGCTGGGAAGCGAGCCAGGTCTCCCAGAGCCTGAGCAGGTGGGTGCCCTAACTACGAGGTTGCTTTTCATCTTCCAGCAGTAAATGTCTGGTGCAGTCCATCCATAGCCCTATCTTCAGCAAGCCTCAGGTGCAGGCCTCCATTTGATTCATTTATGCCGGCAGCAAATTAAGTTTCAGGCTCTTACAATGAATTAGAGAGGCAAAGGGGAAGCAGAGCACAAACTCATGTGCCTGGACATAGGCTTAACTATGGGGCTTCAGGATGGCCACCTATCACAACCTCTTGCCTCTTCTTCTTCTTGCCTCTTCTGGTCCCTGCCTGTGCCAGGGCTGTGATTTATTGCAGTTGTATGCCCTTCTGCAGTCCAAAAAGGATCCTTCAGCTTTCTGTCTGAAGAAGGTCCTCGCAAGTGACACAGGTTGAGAACATGATGCACTGTTCCCCTCTCCTGTGACATTTCTTTACATAAGCAGCTGAATAGCAGAAGATACCAGTGTTCATTACTAATTTTGTTATTTATAGCAAGCTGCCACAGATGGAGACTGCAGCACCATTCTATCTTTAGGGCGTAGCGCCTGCCTGTCCATACAGACAATTGGTAATTAGCACAAGAACAATTTGTTTATCTATTCTCAAACTTAAATAAATAGGACAGCCATTTATCTGTCAAAATTCAACTCCCTCCCATTGCCAGATCTCCCAGTTAACTGCTTAATGAATAAAGTTAATCACTTCAGGCACTTAGGTAAAGAAAAAAGTGTCTCTTAAAAGAATTCCTATTAAAGAAAATCAAATATGCAATAAAAAATAACAGGTTATATACTGAATGGATAGCATTTAGTTCACAAGAATCAGGAGCACAGGACAAGATGAAGAACACAGGGATGTCAAGCAAAGGTGTAGAAATGGACCAACCGGTACGTAGGGGAGGTGTGCTGTATACATCCTGGCTACTCCCAGCATGTGCACTTCCTACCAGTCCAGTCACCCAGCTCTCAGCCGATCACTCCAAGTGATTCCTTGCATGAATGTGAAACTGGGGAATAGAAGACAGAGAAGATACTTGCAGTTCTCCAAGTAAAATCCCACATGTGCGTTAAGATGCACTTGCATGGCTCAGATGGCAGGACTCTGCCCAATGTAAACACCACACAAGCCAGGGAGAAGACATGACATAATTTTTTCTATTTTTATTGCTGATCCCAACCCTTCTTTGTTCTCTTCTATTCCCTATACCCACCCCTGAAGTTAGAGAAGAGAGGAAGAGTCTTTATGAATAGATGGACTTTGTGAATTGTACCCAAGGATTGGCCCCTGTTCCCTCTCTCCTTGCCCCCACCACTGCTGACAAGGAGGGGAATGGGAGCTGCTGAGGGACTGCTCACACTCACTTTAAAGGCCAAGCAGTCTGTATGGAAAAAGCCAAACAACCCTTGCCTTTCTCACAATTCAGATGTTTTCAGCATCTGAAAGTATTTACTTATTCAAGCTTGCCAGTGCAGCTTTTTTAACATGCATATGACTGTACACACATCCACACATACAGGGTGGGAAAAGCAATGAGAAAAAATATGAAGGTTTTAGAGGTTATTGCTATCAGGTAGCAAAAGTGGGCCAGATCTGAGGAATTCTGCCTAGCCTCCATTTCTCATCATATGGGTCCCAGTGAAGAGCTATTTGCTTGTTGTCCTACCACCTGGACAATCTTTATTTGACCTTTTTATCCTCCCATCATCCAGGAAGGGGATAAAAGCTACTAAATAAGAGTAAACTATTTCAAATTCAATGGCTGGGAAGAAATACTAATGAGGAGCTCCTTCTTTTGTCTTTCAGCTCACAACTCCCAATTTCCCTGTAGTGGTCAAGCTGGGACACGCGCATGCTGGAATGGGGAAGGTAAGTAAAACTGAAAATACACATAGCTCAGGAAACAGATATATATGTGGCCCAGTATTTGTGTGATTGTACACAGCATGTGCCCAGCCAGTGAAGGGGTTAAACCTCCCCACAGCCTATCTGGGTTGCACTGGCTGTTCCTGTGAGAGAGAAAAGGCCTTTTTCTGCTGTCACGCACTCGGAGACAGGCAGCGGTATTGGGTTGGAGACTGTCTGGGGTGCGGGGAGGGGGGTTGTGAAGAGTGGGGGAAAATCTGCCTGGGCTGAAGTCATTAGGCTCGTCTTTTATATACTTTCTGCCCTCCTGAAAGTGGTAGTGTTGTTTATTCAAGCACCTGTAATGTGCAGCTACACCCCATAGCTCTCACAATGAGGAGTAGCAGCACTGGTCTTTTCGAGCGCATTATGATGACCTTATTCAATAAAACGGGAGCCCTTCAGTTATTTTTTTCCTCCTTGCAAGGAAGAACAAGACCTTACAAAGCAGAGTGGCTGGTTGCCTGCCAAGGAATCCTGAAAAACAGTTCACTCCCCAGAAGGACCTGTTTGTTTTTCCCAGGCTCTCTGGGATCTTTATTCCCCCAGTGAATTAGCAGCCCCTGTTTCTTGGGGTGGCTGGGCTCCCCTTTCTGTGAGGCATCACCAGCACATTGCTGCTGCACTTTAGCCTCCTCTTTCTTGGATATACCTTTTAAAAAAGCATCCCCTACCTGCCTAAAACTTGATTTGTTCAGAAGTAGGAAATTCTGATGCATCACCTCTGAATCCAAATGGGTGGTACATGACCTTCAGAACCGATACCTCTGTCACGGTGCTTCCCTAGGACAGACCGACCTTCTCCCAGCCTCACTCTTTGACTGAAAATTATATATAGGTACGCCAAACTTAAACTAGGTACAGTTTGTTTGCTCACGCTTTGGAAACAGAAGTCCTTTCTGCCTGCCTGGATTGCACATGGAAGCTCTCATAATCTTTCTTGCTTTGGTTGCAGTGTTCCCCTTGTCTGGATGGTAGCTGCCAGAGAGGAAGTGGGCTCAGATCCCTGGGCCAGTGGTGGAGTTGGCTTTTAGCATCAAAGAACAAACATTTAAATAAGCAGGAAATGTTTGTTAAAATATTGGTGCTTCGTATGTTAAACAGGCAGAGGTGTCATTGAATTAGAATATATGCAGAGAGCCTAGACCTGCTTGTATAACGAGCCACTGAACATGTCCCTAGGAAAGATTTCATTAGCAAAATCCAACCAGGACAAACCAGGAGGAAGAAACCTCTCCCCGAGGAAAGGTTTCAAGTTCCTTGAGACCTTGCAATCCTGGATCTCTCTGACTGCTCTGCAATTTCATCTGTAATGTAGGGAGGGCTTCACGTGTCTTTCTTGTGCACAAAGGACCCTTGGTGGCTACAGAAATGAGGGCGGAATCAGAGAAAAGTACCTCAACCTTAACAGTGGTTCCAGCAAAACTCTCAACAGAATATTCAGCTGCTGTTTTCTGCACTGGACATCACATCTTCGTCCATCTCTCATTTTCCCTCCCATTTCATTCTTTAATGATGTTGGGTTTTTTCTGTCACAAGTTATAAGGGAAGAGGGTTTCTATTCAAACTCCAAGCACAATTGTGTTCAGTGGTACAAGGGGGTTACGTAGGAAGTCATTCCAGATGAAGATAGGCTGACAGCCAGCATCTTAGAAGAAAGAGTTGGTCTGAAGCCAAGTTTACTTTAGTCCATTATGAAATTAGGGATTACTAGCAAAGTCTGGATGTGGATTTGGGCACAGAATTTCAACACTGCTGTGTTCAGTAGATGGGGAAGGTACAGGAAGGAAGAGTAGTTGACTTTATGGTTTTAGTTTGGGCCCTTCTCCAGCCACAAGCAGCCTGAAGGGAAGTTGAGACTGATTAAATTAGTCTTCTTGAAGTCCCATTGCATTGCATTGCATAGAGCAAAAAGAGGAGAGAGAAAATGAGAATAAAATAAAGAACAAGTCAGTTGGTTTAAAAGACAAGTAATGGGAATTTGTTTTTAAGACAATAGGGTTCAAGCCTAGGTGGGGCTGACAGAAAGAAACCACAATGTTGGAGTAACACAGATGATAAGCAGAACTATGAGCCTACTAGGAAAGTAACACCTATAGGTAAAACAATCAAACATCCAGTTAAGTAATTCAGAAGAGGGAAGTGTCCAGGAGACATAATGGTGGTTTTAACCATCATAATGTAAAAGCAATAATCAGTGATGATAAGGAGATTACAGAGAGCTAAAGGATTTATTTGCATTGGTCTTCAGAAGTAGAGATGACAGCAGGAAATAGCAGGTCTTTAGCTGTAAAATATGTCATATGAAAAGAGAGAGGTTTGCTTTTGGTTTAGATGAGTGTAAGAAAGTAACTGTTAATAAAGCACCTGCATTGGGTCATGTTTTATACAAAAGCAGTATCTGAAGAAACAAAGGATAAAATAACCAACCTATTAGCCAAAGTACACATGTGAGTATTAAAAATAGTAAGTACTACAATAAACAATGCCAAGACAGTAAGCCATGTACTTGTACCTGTAATGGGTGCTTCAAAGGATGTGAGCATTCAGATTACAATCTCATTACCAGCAGAAATTGTCAAGGAAGTACTTACATTTTTCTTGTTATTAATAGTAAAATCACATGTAAAGGGAAGCACCAAGACTTAGAAGAATGAGCAAAGCTGGGAAGTCCAGACACAGTTATTCTTTAGTTGTACTGAGGCAGTGGCCAGGAGCCAGAAAAACTCCAGACACGGAAAAGGCTTCTTCCCCAAAGAGCTCCACCATTGACTTGCAGGGAGATTTGTGTCATTTCACAGTTCTTCTTCAGTTTCTCTGTGTTACAGACCAGAGGGATTATAATGATCACCTGATACTTATTGCTAATTCATGTTCATAAGGCTCTTGGCACTATAAGAAGTGCTGAGTGTTTATTATTTTGCAATAATGGCTAGAAAGAGCATAATTATAATAGTCAAGCTTTCATTTTCACATATCCTTTGTTTTCACAATGTTTTCACACATTTTCACAAAATTCACTCACCACATTTTTTAATCAGAGGGCTGAACAGAGGATCCCCAAAGCTAAAATGAAAAATAACTGTGTTAGGACTTGTAAGAAAATGGCTCTATTGACTGTCTTCAGCTTGGAAGAGGAACAGTTAGTATTCAAGGTCAGAACAAAAAGGGGTGGCAGTATACAGTGAGTGATAGAAGGGCTCTTGCCAAATAATGCATGCATGGAAGGTGCAGGTGGAGATGAAGAAAAACAAATTTGAAATAAAAGGCATCTTCTGAAATTTCCATTGAGAAATACAGAAACAACAGCCTCTCTGTTAACTTGAGCAGAGACATCAGGAATAGCCTTCACCCAGAGAGACAAAGAAGCCTCAGACAATCTTCTCATCTAAAAGCAGGACATATGCCCCTCATCCTCTCCCATGACCATCATTATCCCTTTTCCAAAATTTGGAGTCAGTCTATACCTTGCTGGCACTGGAAGATCATAACAAGTGCTCTGTGTGCTGCTGGTCCATTACAGTATCGACACAAATACAGTACCTGTAAAAATATTGTTCAAACAATGGTTTACATTGAGGTCAGCAAAGAAGGACCTTTCTCATATTGTATTTAGGTTGCCCCGGCTCATGGGGTCAACAGTACTCAAGGAGTCTTCCAGGGAAGCCATGGATGGACACCTGAGAGGAGATATCCTTGCCTGCGCAGAACTGAACTGTTATTCACCTGGCAGTTCCTAAAGGTCAAGGCATTTTTAAGCATTGTGCAGTTTGAGCCTACCTACCCCAAACATGTCCCCACATAGGGGTTTCTGTTGAATAGGGTGAGCACTACAGTGAGAAAGGAATAAAGCTTCTTCCTGACTCCGGATCTCATAATGCCAGAGCCCATGGAAAAGACTACAGCTCTGAGTGTGTTAGTATCTGCCATTTGTGAGCTAACATGACCCTAAAGTGCCCTAGGAAAAGAACCCAGCACTGCAAATTCACTCAAAGAGCCTCCTCACCTCTTCCTGATCAGATCATGAGAAGGAAACAACTGCCAGATCTGCAGGGAGAGGAAAAATAGTATCTGTTAGTGTAGCTTTATATATATTTATATGAATTTAATAAATATATATATATATATATTGCTACTCTTACTTTATTTTTAGACCTCTGTAATTAGGCCAGTTTAAGAGTCACCTCCTGTCCCCTCCTGCCCCATAATTATGAAAACACCTCCCCAGTACAAATCCTGGCTCAGATGAATTTATTACATTGTAGAAGAAAAACTTGTTGTTCATAATAATGTGGTCAGAGTTATTTTCTCTCTTACTGGATGGGAAAGACTTCTCTCCTTTTTTTTTTCCCTCTGGTATAAATATAGCACAAACTAAACAGAGCTACTCTGTAATGTAAAAATACTGCAAGCTTTTTATCAGGAAGGACAGCTCGTCACCTTGTCTCTCTCGGGACTGGAAATAGAATGTTCCAAAAGCAAGAGCTTTGAAAATCCAGTGTGCTAAAGAGGAAAGGAAGGGGAAAGGGCTGCCTTGGTTTGTCAAGGAACAAATATTTTCTTTTACAGAGAACAAATAATAACTTGACATGCAACATTCACAACAGCGCAGCCCAATTGCTGTGTTCCCACTGACTCATGAGTGAGGAGGTACCACCCGTCTTGAAAATAGCAAAAGCATCCCTGTTTCTTGCACATCAGTCTGGAACCTTTTGCTGGACGCAGAAAAGGGTGTCTGATCCAGGGCACTGGGGACCAAAGCTGCCAAGACCTGGGGCTGAGAGCAGCTCTTCATTAGAAAGTTAGTAGGGATTATAAGGCTTAATGCATTAAAGGCAGCATAACATCTGGAGAACTTCAGTGTGAGGATAATAAGGAAATGCAGACTTTATTGTGTATTTCTTATTTTGAGGTGGGTCAAAATTAGGCCTAAATTGAATGTGTGTCGGTTGGGTCAGGTGTTTTCTGAGAAAGGGAGTATAATTTGGGCTAGAGGGAAGGAGAGGCTCAGGAAACCCTCTGTGCAGAACCATTCCTGAAGACCCACTGTCCCAAAATGGCAAAGTCACTACAGAAAGGCTAAGCGCAGGTCAAGACGGATGAAAAATCACAAGCTTTGTGTGGCCATGCCAGTTCCTCTGGAGGAAAACACTCACATATTTTCCCAAGCCTACCAAGACTCAGTTAAACACCACATTGCCAAGGCCGGCCCTGGCTCAGCCTTGGACACTTACCTTCCAGCTGAACTTGCCTCTAACCCTAGTTTGGATGCAGAAACTGCTTCTGCAAGCCATCTCCAAAGTGGTGTGGGTTTAACCTGTGAGGTAGAGTTAACTCTGGATGACACTCAGAGAGGCAAGGCTAGGGCAGCCCTAGCAGACTACTATAATTATACCATGTAGGCTATTTTTTCATGCAGCCACGTAACTAATGAAAGAAAAAGGGGACTGTGAGGCAATACCTTGTAGTGCTTAGGCTAAAGATGAGAGAGGACTGCTGTAGCCCTGGGACCCTGGTGTCCAGAAACATCTAGGATATACAAGAGGCAATAGATTCAGGAATTATGAGACAGTGGAAGCAGAAATTTCTGCCCAGGACCCTCATTGCAGGAGCCTGTGCTCACGCAGGTCTCAGGGGTGGCTCAGACTGCCTGGGAAATATCCACAGTGGGTTTTTAAAATTGCCAGGACCCAGTCTCCAAAATCCTGTCTTGCAGAAAGGCCTCAAAAGAAGGTCCACAGCAGGGAGGGGGCAAAAGTGTTTGTTCCTGATCTGTCCCTTGGACCACTTTCCAGCCAAGGGCAGCAAGATCAGTGCCTCTTGGGCAGGTTCAGGATGGGAACAGGCACCCACTGCAGGTCTCGTAGTATCAGCTTCTGAGATGCCACTGCTGGGCAAAGGGATGGTCACATCTGTGAGCATGTCCCCAGGGGTGCAGCCAGCCTCCCGTCCCCACTGCAGCGACAGGGAGCGTGCTAGGGCACGGCCGGTGCCCAAGTTAGAGAAGAGAGCCAGAAGGGAAGCAGGGACTCTCCCGGGGAGATTTCTTACTCAGAAAAGGCATTTGTCAACACACTGGCCCAAACTCTTCACAACAGGTCACTAAAACACTACAGCAAACAGCAGCCGATGGCTCCAAAATGAGTCTATTGCTGCTCAAACAGGCAGCACAGCTAAGCAAACAGGCCGACAGGGCAGGGGCTGTGTTTGCACTCGCTGTTTGCACTCCTCTATGCAGCTAATGGGATATTGCATTCATCCTAAGAAGGTTGGGAAAAAATAAAAAGAAAGAGAGAAAAATGGCTTCCTGTTGATCTCTTTCCAACTTCTTTTCTCAGTTTCATGCATTGGCCAACCTGCCATTTTAGAAGACAGATTTATCCCTTATTAGGTAAATTGGTAACTGTTTGCTCTAGTATGATTTTTAATAGTCCCTTCTTAAATAATGCCTTCTGGCATCACACCACATCCACCCTGGCTTTGGTTATCTCTAGGGTTTTTTCTCCTGTTAGGAGAATGGATATTTTATTGACATGTAAAAGGGTTACAAGGCAGGAGGAAATGAATTATAAAAAATTTAAAAGTAGAAAGCTAATAAAATGGTGGACTTGATAGATAAGGCAGGAAAATAAATCTAATTTGACTGTAACTTGAGTGCTTCCTGTTTATGAAGTAATAACCATACGCTGGACTAAGCCAGCGTGAACCCAGGACACTTCTGTTATTTTGTCAAATTTGGCCGGCTCTAGCGATTAACAAACGGTGGCTCAGATTTCAGCTTTGGTGTGGTGATTATTTTGATGCCTGGTGGGAAATAAGGCCATGATCTCCTAAAAGGGGACCTCTGTGAGATGCTTTCTCTGAAAAGTCTGTGGGAAGGGCTCTGGCATGGGCCAGGGAATATGGCAGTGCTGTTTCCTGAGGACTGTGTAGCACTGTGGGAGTCATCTTCTTTGTTTTTCTTTTCTTACTTTGTGTCCGCATTGAGTCCCCCCTTCTTTAGCTATTTACCCAGCCAAAAATCCTCAGGCCCATTGGAGAAAACACCTTCAAGTGCTTTCCCTCTCTCCTGATAAGGAGGGGGTGACAGGGAGGAGGAAGAAATGGACCCTTCCTTTCCATAGCACGCTGTATTTTTGAGGAAAAATCCCATTTAACAAGACAAGCATACAGCTCCTTTCTAGCAATAACAATATGGTCTAATTCAATCTGGAGAGGGAAGCAGCATCCCTTCCTCTGCCTCTGGGACAAATGTTCCTGGGCTGGGAATGCAAACGTTTCAGCCGGGGCCCAAAGACATCTGTTGCACAAGCACAGCACTTTGTTTCAGATCCCACAAATGTCCTTGTTCCAAGTAGGTCATTATATAATGGCTTTTGTTTTTTCCCATTGCCAAAAGGGTCTGGGAGAATATGTCGTAACACCGTGCGTTGCCCGCCCATGCCGTCCCTCCTGCAATCGTCTCATCTGGGTGGGACTCTCTCACTTGATGTCATTCAGCCCAGTGCTGCTCTTATCAGTGCAGCAAAAATACCCAGCCTTGATGCAGCAAACCCTGCTTCCCCGGGATTTTGTAAGCTGTGCCCAGGCTGGGGGCTCCCCCCAGCTGCGGTGCTTCCCTCTCCCACTCCCCCCGCCACCTCCAGGGCTTTCCCACCACCTCACCCCCTGCCCTGCTGCACCAGGAACAGCCGGCACCACATGCAACCCCACTCAGACATAGAGGGGAACAACACAGCCCAGAGCAAGGCTGCTCCTCCTGGATGACGTGCAATGGTTGCCTTTACATTTCCCCTTTGTGTTTGTTATTTCCTTTTTTTTTTTCTACCTTCCCACCCCACAGGCGACTGTCGTCTTCCTCTGCTGCCTTTCTCAGCAGTCCCTGAATAGTGAGTGCACAGCCCTCACCATAGCAAAAGGGAGGAGGACTAGGGGTATGTGGCATTCAGCAAAAGGAGAAGCAAACACCAGGCCTTTTTTCTTATTATTCAGGCATCTCGAAATGGTCACAGGTCAAACTAGTTGCACTTTTCACCTTCCCCACAACCTGTCCAGTTCTCAAGAGCTTTTCCACACCAGGATGTGGCTATATCTTTGGCTTCTGTTAAGGCTGGTGCTTATTAAAAAAAGTCTAAACAGAATAGAACAGGTTAGAAACAAGCTTGTCCTCTGTCCTCTAGTGAAGATGGCTCCTGCCCTCTCATGGTTGAAGGCAGATATGTAAAGCCACTTGTTTGTTCTTTGCGAAGAAACACCAAATACCATCACACGCGTTTCCTTCAGACGGCTCCACATAGTCTAGCATCACCCTCCTTTAACACACACACTGACACAACTGGGAAACTCTTCTGGGGCAGAGGCTGACCAGTTGTCACGAGCAAGTAGACACTTTGCAAAGCGGGGCTGCAATCCCCAGCTGTGGTCTCAAAGTGTTACCAAAGTAAAAAGTGTAGGTAATAAAGTCACTCACTTGCTCACCCTTTTCACACAATGTTGGTCTTTTTTCTGCCAATTAACCCACCCTTCCTGCATCCATCCTGTTCTAAGGAACAAGAATCGCACGGGTTTGATGCACCAAGTAGTTTTTTGCCAATAGACTAAAGGCCAGGGTTGATAGTAAGAGTGAGGTGAAGTTGTCCACTATGTTCTCACTACCTGCTTGTTCAGTTTTCCTCTCCCAAACCAATAAGCTTTTGCAGAGATTTGATGATATCATTAGAGCTTCCACTCTTTTGGTCCTTCTTTCTTCTTTTTTTTTTTTTTTTTATAAGAATCAGAGCATTTCTCATAACCGAATACAAATCTGTGAAAAGCCAGCTTCTCAGAAAATCTCCAGCTCATAGGCCGCTGCCCTCTCATTTCCAAGTACAACTCAAGTCTAACACCCAACCAGCTGTACCACACAGGTGCCCAAATCTCACACAAATCTCCCCAAGAATCACAGGCTTCCCTAGAGGCATCCTTTTCCATCAGAGCTTGCTTCCAGCCAGGAGACCTGCACTGCTCCTCAAAGAAAGTCTGGAGGGGGGGGTAATGTGAAATGCCAGGGAACTGAAGCCTAGAGGTGGCAGACAACCAGCTCTCTTCTTGATTTCCTGGCATTGGTTTCTATTTCCTGACCACTCAAAATACTCCGTGTTCATCCATCCCAACATGGGAAATAGCAGTTCCAATGTTTGAATGCAGTAATGCCCCTTAAGAGATCAAATATTTTTCTGAAGCATCATAAAAGCAAAGAGCATTAGCAAGAGCCATCTGGGCAAAGGTCTAGCTGTCTCCTTGGTGCCAGGTTTACCAGGGCTTGTGCAAGAGGAAGGAGAAAGGGGTTGATTTGCTCTGGGCTGGGTTGGTTTGGGGAAATTCTCTCTTTAAATCACACAATCCCTGCTCTGTCCTCAACTCCATCTGTGTGGTTTTTAACTGATGTTGTGCTATTCAGGCACAGAGGTGACTTCTGCTCACAAAGTATTCCTGTTCTTTTTGCTCTTGTCACCTTTTCGCTGGATTTTGGCAATCAAGGTCAAGGTTGAGAACCAGCACGACTTCCGGGACATGGCCAGCATAGTAGCCATGGCCAAAACCTACGCCACCACCGAGCCGTTCATTGACTCCAAGTACGACATCCGAATCCAGAAAATTGGCAGCAACTACAAGGCTTACATGTGAGTGCATGGCTATGCTGGAGCGAGACGGGGGGGAGACAGTGCTGTGGATGTGATTCAGTCGGTGTCTGCTCCGGGCAGGAGTAGGAAGCTGACTTAACTTCCTTGAAGAATAGCCCTGCTGTTCTCCTCCCACCTCTGAACCCAGATCCCTCATCCACCGATCATCTTCTCCATTACTCACCATCAGCTCCTTGTTTCTGGAAGGTAAATCTCTTTCTACCTGTTTCTGAGATTCAGCTAGTTCCCACTGTTACAACTGTGCTCTGCCATCACATATCACCTCTCCCTCCTGTTGTCGAAGGGCTCATCTTTCCCAGCAAAATCCTCCAGCTCCCAGTACCCTCTAGTACAAACTGAACCTGGTCCCTTTCAACCTGGGGCAAACAATAAAAAAGATTGAGCCAGCTGCAACTCCTGGAAACCTACAGTGTCCAACCCATAGCAACACCCCATCCTTTCCCCAGCCGGAGAACACAGCACCACAATCACATAAGGGCATGAGGAGCACACAGCACCAGGTATGAATGACCTCAGCCCGGCCAGCATGCAGGGTTTCCGTGTCCATTTTGCATGTGTGCTCCTTGAAGCGTACAAAGGAGGGAAAGCAGAAAGAGAGACATTTCTGTGGGTGCCCCAAAGCTCCTCCCTGCCCTGTGGGGTAGTGAGGGAGGTGGCATGAAGGCAACCCCCAACACTGGTATGTTCAAAAACATTAAAAAGCGTTCAGCCAAACTTCACTAGTCGTCAAGCTCAATTAAAGATGTAACCACATGAGTCAGTAAGACACCTGTTTCTTCTTACTGCAAACCAGCAGATGAGAAAAACCAAATAGCACAGCTTCTCCAGAAGCTCCTTATCCAGCCACAAAATTCTGGACAAGTAGACAGCTCCAGCAGCACATTCTTCAGGTCACCAGATAAATTTCTTATGTTACCTAACACTCACAACACTGAGTTTTGGGCCCGTGTTTACAAACCCCCAGGTCATAGTTCTGGCGAAACATAGTTGAATAAGATAATCGAATGTACACGATCACATATTTTTCAGCTATAGCTGCCTAAAATTCCCAGTTGGATCCTTAGCACAGAGGTATTTCAGCAAACTAGATAATGACTGAATGGCATTCTTCATGGGAAGGACTTGTGGGACACTCGGCTACTTCACAGGAACAAAATGAAAGAAAATTTGTTTTAAATCTGATCAGGTCAACAATAGCACAGTTGCCTAATATTACATTAACATCTCAGGGAGTCTGGCGCAAATTGGCCAAAGGAAGGAAGGTTTAGAATATCAATTAAAATTCCCTGTTCCTGCCAACCTACCCAGCCTTGGCTCCAGAGCCTGCTCCCAGCCTGCCTCTAAGTGAAACAAAGGCCCAGTTTGCCTGAGCGTATCCTCTCCCCATTTATTATTCGCACTCACCACGCACTCATCCAGACCGGCATCAGAAATAATACCAGATGATTGAGGAAAGAAAGCAGTCACACTAAGAGCTAATCCCACTTGGGAATATAGCCGCGCAAACAATTGTTTGCTAAATGAAAAATGTTTTCACATGAAAACAGCCATGAACAGGAAACACCTTAATGAGAAATGAAGCTTATTAGCAAAGAAAGCAAACAGCAAAATTCACCCAGCGACTTGTTAACCCAGAAGGTTGACTTATATTGAGAGAGCCATTCACAGACGTGAGCTTGTGAGAGTGGTATAGTCAGTCCCGTTGGGGGCTGTTCCTTCTGTCCCAGCATCAGACAGAATAGAAGGTTATTTCTACAGTATAAATAAGTCCCTACTATGTCCAAGGACAGACGTAAAAGCACCCAAAATATCAGAGTTCTCACTGGTGTCTCAAATAGAAAACTCAAAATCATTAGTCACACTGGCAAATCTCAGCCTTAAAGGCAATTACCGCATCTGCAGTAGAGTCATGCTAAGTGAACGGCTTTGATCTGTGAGCCATGGAATCTACCCAGCATTTTTATACCTTCACCCACACATATAGACTGTAAAAGCCCCCTTCCTTCTGGAAAAGACTGCGTAGCGCAATTCTCCAGAATATGTTTACTTTGCACCAAGCATCTGCCAGAGGGAGGATGCTGCAGGGTGACTCATGCATTCCTCCCTGCCCCAGATGTTCCATGCACTTCCTTCCAGCCCGTGACCCAAGGCTCGAGTTCAGTTTCCCATTGATTTCAGCGCAGTGACTCCAGATTTACACGACTAACAAACACCTACTTAGCCCATGCCTTGGGCCAGTCTCAAAACAGCAGATAAGCAGCATGTGATACATGCCTAAAATTCCACCGAATGTATTTGGCTGTCATTGTAATACTGGTGAAGAGAAAACACAAATAATCTTCACGTGGCAGGGGAAATTGGGGCAGAAATTATACTTCCACCCTTGCCCCAACTGGGGACAAGCAACGGGATCACTTCCAGTTAAGACTCACGAAATACTCACTTTGCATGAAGCCAGCAGCTGCTGATTTTCAGGGGTGGGATATTCCTTGCCATCAGCTTTTAGTAAGAGGGTAATATCCTTTCCTTTCTAGTTTCATGCATGTGACTTCTTATTTTGTTGCCTCAAATGCACTTCAATATGCTCTGCAGGGGCTACAACTTCAACTGTGTGTAAACTACAGCTACTTTTAGACCGAAATGGCCCAGCTGTGAGATGGTGAATATAGGATACCAACAGCCTATGATGGTTTAGGATGATTGGAAGCACTTTGACTTTGAGTCCCTGAGAGAAAGGGGGTTTGAGGCAGGGCATCCTTAGGGA